CGTTACCCTACCGTACCCGTTACTTCTCCCAACTTCCCCTTCAGCGCTTCCTGGGGACCAGACGACGATGGACGGACTGTAGATGGCCCGGCAAAGCTTACGAGAGCAGCTTTTGAAAGAGGAATCCGAGAAGGACGTCGAGGCAAAGGATCAGTATTCGTGTGGGCTTCCGGAAATGGTGGAAAAGATGCGGATTCGTGTAATTGCGATGGATACACAAATAGGTAAGTCTCTCAATTTATGTTAAAGTTTGGCTTAGAAATTGTAGATAACTCATACAGCATGACTAAATTGCAGCAGATCGATTTTGCTTTTTCTTTAAATTGAAAATTCGAAAAAATTGCAAGTGTACTTGTAAGTAGCTGCAGCATTTTCTCAAATAGGGTATTACCGGGTTAAAAAAATGCGCAGAGTGCAATATTCTAATTCAGTGGTGAATCATTCAAATTATGCATTTGGAGGTTTAGAAAAAAGCGTGAACTTATTATAAGCACTTAAATCTGTTAAAAAGACCAGAAACGACTTGATTTGCGCAAATAGTGCCATTCATAACTGCTTTTTGTGCGAAAAGTGAGAGTGATTCTGCTTGTGATTGTTCTTCCAAGAAAAATATTAAGATTTGGTAGTGCTGAATTTTAAAAGGAGAAATCGGTTTCTTTCCGAAAAACTCCATTATTCAAAAGAGAAATTAATTTGGCTGGCTTAATTTGCAAGCAGATTTCAAAATCTAACTTTTGATTTATGTCTATTGCGCCTCATCGCTCAAAAATAATGTGACCTGTGAATCAAAAGCGTTTCGTCTGCGAAAACTATTCTGATGTAGAATTGGAAGCCATTTCCTATGGAAATCGTTCCATTCCCATCATTTATGGTTGATGAGCGGAAATGGCCATCGTGGCAGCGGTTCCATAAATCTATCATAAGTAGTTTTATTACTATGCGCTGCGGTCGCCACGTGTTTGACATATGTGCAAAAGCGCTTTCTCATCATAATTTCAAATTTGAAGGGAAAACATTTGAAAGAAAATTTTGAAGCTGTTGTTCCAGCATCTACACCTTGTCAATATCGGCTGCTACCGAAAATGGGAATATTCCATGGTATTCCGAAGCATGTAGCAGTACATTGGCTAGTACATATTCAAGCGGAGCCACCGGAGAGAAAATGATTGTCACCACCGATTTGCACCATGCCTGCACCAATACGCATACTGGCACATCAGCCAGTGCACCATTGGCAGCTGGCATTGTTGCGCTTACGCTTGAAGCAAATCCGGATCTCACTTGGAGAGATTTACAGGTAAGATTAGGTTTTTAGAAGGGAAACGGCCTTTTTGCACCACTATGGGCTACAGTATCTTTGGTATTTGGCATGTGGTGCTGCATGCAACTGCACTCTCGGTATGGTGTTGCTGCAACTGCACTACCGGAGTGGTGTTGCTGCAACTTCACTTCCGGTATAGTGTTGCTGCAGTTGCATCTTGCTGTGATGCATGCAACTGCAATCTGTGTGGTGATGCTACTGCAGTCCCATGAATTACGGTAGCTTGTACAGAGCTTATTGGTGCAAAAGGTCCCACCTACCCCCTACTACCTCCTTTCTTTTTGCTCCTTTTGGCAGCATTCTGATCTTTTTCAGCATATCGTAATCCGAGCTGCCAAACCCATAAACCTTCGTGCTGGTGATTGGATAACCAACGGTGTGGGACGAAATGTATCGCACTCATTCGGTTACGGTCTAATGGACGCTGGAGCAATGGTACAACTGGCTAGAAACTGGACAACTGCTCCTGAACAACATAAATGTCGGCAGTTTTATCCGAGTAGATTCAAGTAAGTCGGTAGTGCAACATAGCCCTAAGTATGTTTATAT